AAAATGTTTATTATTGTTGACATGAAAATGGGTTAAACGGTTATTTTAAAATGGTACAAACATCATAAGGTTCCAACAATAAAGCAAACTTCATGCCACATAAATAAATGACACATTTCTAACTTCAGCTTCATGATTGTGTTCATAAAAAATGAAGAGGGTAAAAACTTAATGTGTTTTTGTCTCTGCTGCAGGAACCAGTGGAGGACAACCAGACTATCTCTATTACGGATCAGGAGAAAATATTATTCTGCTTTGTAAAAGTCCTCCAACTTCTTGCTCCATTGATTGGTCTTACAAGAAAACGCCGCCTGAAAAAGTTGTTCAGATATTACCTGGACCTACCAGATTTTTTGTACAGAGAAATTGCTCCCTGATCATTAAAGACCTCACTGCTGAGGATGCTGGATATTACACCTGTGGACCTGCTTCAGGATCCATAAATGATCATTGGTCTCTTCTGATCGTTCTGACCAGTGAGTATTTAAACTTTAATGATTTGCTGCTATCTGGCTCTTTCCCTTTAATTAGTATTTTTAATACTTTAAATGTTTTTCTGTCGAACAAAGAGTGTAAACCAATGATTTTTCATCACTGAGTGAAAGCTCCAACCACACATCCATGGTTGCAGATGGCATTGGGGAGGGAGGGGGGGCATGTCTTGCCCAAATGTATTATTATTGCTGGTAAATGATAAATTTGATATAATTTCTTACATTGTTAGAACGCTTTACAGTACAGTATTTTATTGTTTATCTTTTAACTTTTTACTATTATGTTATTCCTATACATTTTTCTAAGCTCCACATTAAGGTGACCATAAATTTTTTCTATAATCTTTTTGCTGCTGTAAAAACAACAATTTCCCCATTGTGGGACAATAAAGGGGATTTTTATTCTATTCTAAACCATTATATATTGTTATAATGAGTATTGCTATTATAAGGGTAAACAGTGAATCGGTAACCTGTGTCACAGATGGTTTGTTTTCATGACACAAATACAGAGACTCTTTTCCATTGTTGCTCTTAAAAATGCTTCCAGCCTGTATTCTTGCATTTTCACCACTATATTTGTTCACTGCGTTCTGCGCAGCTGGATGATGAAACATAGAAAGGTCGGCGTGCTTCTAGCCCTGATGGAAAAGGATAAATTAAATTAAGCAATGGTAATAAATCATGCAGACATCAATACATGATGCCCTACAATTTTAGGAAGGAGTGTTGGGGCCATTGTAGAATAAAAACACTACATTAATTTCACATATATGAAATAAAAAAATATCTTAAAAACCTGATTGGGAAAAGTATGGAAGAGGATTAGGGCCAGTAGAAAAAAAAAGTTAACTAATTTTTAAATTTTATTTCAGTTTAGTATGGGAAAAATGTCAGAATTTTTACTTTTTTCTCAGAATTCTGACTTTAATCTCAGAATTGTGACTTTTTTCTCAGAATTCTGACTTTAATCTAAGAAATTCTGACTGAATTCTGACAAAAAATTTCAGAGTCAGAATTTTGAGATTAAAGTCAGAATTCTAAGAAAAAAAGTCAGTATTCTGAGATTAAAGTCAGAATTCTGACTTTTTCTCCCATACTAAACTGAAATACAATTCAAAAAACAGTTAACTTTTTTTTCTAATCCTCTTCCGTTGGAAAAGACATAAATATTCATCATTAAAATAGATCTCCCATTTAATTTGTTTGTTTAACTTAAAGGGGAGCACTGCATTTACATAAAAAGAAGACATAATAATGCATGAGATTAAAAACAGACTGAATTTACCAACAGCTATTTTTTCATCTGTAGTCCCCTGGCTATGATGTTAAAAAAGCAAATATTTTCAAGAATTTATGTGGAAATTCTCTCATGCTGAAAAGTATTTATTTGCAAAAACAATCTCAGGAATTTGCATACATTTTAATGCTGTTTAATGACATTGTGAGTTTAGAACATTTGGGCAAAAAATAAATCTTATAAACTGTTTGAAAAACTGAGTTTGCTGATTTTAAATCATGAAACTCTGGCAGTAAACTCCAGATCCTCTATTATTGAGCTTTTAGATTTATATTTATAAGGTCTAGACATTTAACAGAGCGTATCTACATGTGGAATCTATTTCTATATTGTTTTATAAAATGCTGTGGGCTGTTTTGAGTTATAGTTTGTTAGAGCGGAGGAATACAGTGTAGTGATGTGAGCAGGAGCGGCAGCTGTGTGATGCAGACAGTTACTGATGGTTCACATAACCTGGATGACTGAGAAAAGCCTACATTTCAAATTAATAATTTAATTATTGCAACAGAGTATTAAATAGGCCAACAAAAATGCAGATTAGCAAATCGCGGTCCTCATTTCCTCGCTTAAAAAATAAACTCTGTTCAAAAGGCGTCTGAGTAGCACACAGCAATAATCTAAAATAACTTTACAGGATTAAGGAATAGTTTAAGAAACCCCTTAATGTTGTGTTTAGGCATCATTTTCCTTTTGTTTATTTACTCTTTTTTATTGTAAAGAGATTAATAATTGTTCTGACATGGTTTTCCACTGATCTTTTATGAACTGCTTCCTTGTTAATCTTCACGATGGTAAATAAAAAAAAGATGCAGTCAGAGGGAAATGTTTTAAGAAAAAAAAATCCCCAATGTTGAAAAGTTGATTTGCAAAAGATAAACTCAGAAAACTTTCAGATTAAACGAAAAAGTGTTTGACATTTAAACTTATATGTTTTGTGACTTACAAGTTTAAAATAATAAAAAAACAATTAATAAAATAAAATGTAATTCCCAGAAAAAAGACAGTAGTTTGCGGCGATTTTAAATCCGATATTTTGATAAAAATGCCAGACTTCCTTTAAGATGAGATTTGCTGCTGGATCGTTTCTAAAGTGTAAGTGGCATACATAACGGCTCTGTGTGCAGATTTCACTTTAACACGAACTGAGGCGCTTATCTGCCAGAAAATATTGCAGCAGAGCAACTTTTAAATTGCGATAAATATTGCAGTTTGATGACAGCTGCCATACAGTCATGTTGAAGCTTCTCTCTCATAATTTCAGGTCCAAATCCTCAGATGCGCTTTGCAGGTTTGCAAAAGTTGTTCTCTATGTAGTAAAAACTGATCTACTTCTAATGGTATATATGGACGGACCATATAGTCAAGCTGGAAAGATATTCACTTTATGTCCAGTTGCCTAGACTGAACTATTTCAAGCAAGAAGGATATTAATTATTTAGAAAAAAAATCTTTGATTTTTTTTTTTATTAGAAATTTGTTTTATGAATTTTGAGAACAAGAAGCTGCACTAATCTCTTATCATTTTAGATCTTCTAATATATTTAGTTTTCTCAAGCTATGTTTAACAAAAGCAACAGCTTCCAACATTAATTCTAAATCTTACACTGGAAAAAATCTAAATCTAGATGTCTTTTTTTCTTAAAATATGTGCATTTGTTCTTAGATTGAGGAGGAAAAAGATACATTTTGCCAATGGAACAAGACAATTTACATTTAAAATAAGAAAACACAATTGCAATTTCTTATTTCAAGTGCATTTTATCTAATTATCCTATTTTAAAAGTAAAAATACTAATTCCATTGGCAAACTGTGTAATTTACCTACTTAAATTAAGGGTAAATACACATAATTTAGGAAATTTTAACTTATTACTAGATTGGTTTTTCAGTGTTCTCTTATAGCCTATATATCTGATATTTCTCAAAAGGATTTTTTGTTTTTTTTTTTGTTCTTCCAATGTTCCAAATTTTAAAATCTATTTCCTTGATACGGCCATCACATATTGTTAAACACATCTCTCTCTCTCATGTATTTCTCGTCATCCAAAAAGGTTAACATTTATTATGTTAATCTGCTGAGTCTTGGGAAAAATATCTCAATTTTCTTCAAATCGAAAGTTCTTTGTTCTGTTAACCATCAGAAATTTTTTATATTTAAAACTATTTAATGTCTGTACTTGTGTATTTCCACATCTAAAATTGATTTATAAAAAGGCGAGATACACCAAAACCTGTCCGATTCTCCTTTCTATTTTAAATCTGACAAAGCAGCTATTGTCCGTCATTGATTACAGAATCGACCGCATGTTGCAGGCAGCAGTGGTCCTGTGTACAGGTGATCATCATGGTTGAAACAAACATGGTTGAAAACCATAGTAGCAAGTTTTTCTGGAAGAATTTGGGATGTGATCAAATTAGCTTTACACTAATTTAGAAAAATTGGAATGTTTCAAACCAATTCATGATGCAATTCCATGAGGTGAATAAAACATTATTTGGCCAAATAATATTTATCAGGAAACAGTAACCATTAGACCTAATTTTGGGAAATTCTCGCTTATTTTGCATACCAAATGGAAGCAACTTAGGAACTGTAAGCCCATATTACATGTGCAACACATTATTTGAAAGCTAACAGCCTCTAGTTTCTGAATATATTAACGGGGTGAGTAGAACAAAGACCAAGCTGCATAATGTCAAACATGATAAAAGTTGTTTTTTGTTGGTCTTAACCAATAACAGCCGGACTCTACAATGCTTAATAGGGCGCCAGCCAGGGCACTGGCTGACAGGAAGTGAACGGAAGTGAGATTTACGGAACTATATCTTGCTCCACCCTGTACTACCAACGGCCTATCAGCAATCCAGTGAATGAATAGAGATCAGTGGGCCTGCCACTTTCAAAAGCCGCATATGCAACTTCTACAATGGCCCTTTTGAACTCCTAGTTTCACCAAATGCCATACATGTAGCCTAAGCTTTAGCCTAAGTTTTTCTAACACTGCATCATTTTTAATTTAAAATTTGGAAAGTTTTCTTCTTGTTCCATTGTGCTGATAAATACCTGCTCAGATCTGCAACATTAGTGCATCAGTCACCAAGAGACATTGAGACAATATATAACAAGTTCAAGTTTTTTTTATGTTAGAGAAAGTTACCTCTCCAGCTTTCAGACTCAAACATTTTTTATTTTGTTTCAGTCTCTCCATCTCCATCAGCTGCTGATACAACTAAAGATGGAGGTGTCACATTACAGTGTTCCCTGAAGACATCCCTCAAGTCGTTATCTTGCTCTGGGAGTATTCACTGGTTGGATGAGGCAGGAACTAAACTGACTGGTGAAGATGACAGATACAAGATAAATGAAATAGGCAAATGTGCTTCCTCTCTGACTGTGAAGCATCAGAACGTCACCAACAGAAGATACACTTGCCAGTATGTTGGAGAAAACAGTGTAACGGTAGAAGTTCACTACACAGCTGTGCTTAAAGGTAGGATGACTTTTATTTACTGAGCAGATTATGTAAAATGCAGAAAGTACAACAATTTTAATACAGAAATTATTTTTATGGTATAATTTCCTCTCTATTGAAGTATTGTTTTGCTTTCTGGACAGACTTGCATTTCTAAACCATTTTTCTCTCTGAAACAAAAATTACTCATTTTAATTGTCATACCAGGCAAATAACGTTTTAAACAAAATTTGGGTCTACTATTTTCACACCTACAACATCTGTTCTGCTTTAAATTGACCAGAGTTTTGGGTCTAGGAGACTTTAAGCTTTCTATCATAGTTCCTTTAGCAGAGAGAACTCAGGACGTTCCTTTCTGCTGCTAAGAAGCTATGAGGAATCCCACAATCCTTTGCATGACATGATGTTCAGGAATTCAGTATTGCTACACGTGTGGTGTATGTGACACCGGCAAATGTTTGCACCCTCCCATGTTTTAGTCATATTCTCACTACCAACTCATCACATATTGACATTGACTCTTGGTCAAAGTCCACTGTGCATCATAATCACGCCACAATTCTATGACATCATGTTTGTTTCTATCACATTGATTAAAAGAGAGTTCAATGAATGAAATTATTTCCACTTTTTATTAGATTAAAGGAAAGAAGTTTGTTTTATAGGGAGCATTTAATCAAAAATGTCATTTTTTTCTGCAGAATTTTACATTGCTGGTGTTTTCCTTACTAGTAATTCAAACATCATTAATAGCATCACCATTTCTGGAAATGCAGAAAAGTCTCAAAGCTAAAAAAAAAAGGATAAAAATAGTCAAACTGAAAATTATTATTATTGCTTGTAAACATTGGTTTTACTTCATACGTTTATTTTTGAAACAGATTCTATACTTTACCTAAATGCTGACAAAAAAGCACAGATGCTGATGTTATTCATAGCTAAATGTAATGTAATGTCTTTTTCTGCAGATATCAAAAGAGAAGTAGTCCATATCTACCACAGAGTTGGAGATGATGCTGTTTTACCCTGTAAAAGACCTTCATCATCCTCTTCCTCATGCTCCACTGTTAACTGGCTTTATATGAGAGATGAAGACATGAATCCCCAGCAGGAAGTTCAGAGAGGAATCGTTGTTCAGAGTTCATCTAAAGCTGCCAGGCTGAGTGTGGACAATAACTGCTCTCTGATCATCAACAGCATCACTGCTGAGGATGCTGGAGGTTACAGATGTCAGATTCAGGATGGAGGCAGCTCTGATCCAGATGTGTATCTAAATCTGATGAGCAGTGAGTGATCTGAACTGACTCTGTGTTCCTGCTGATATCAGTCCGTCCTAACCTGGAAATAAAAATGGTCTTTGTTGGTTTTCTTATTTCAGCCTCTCCAGTAGGATGTGATCCAACACAGGATAAAATCACATTACTCTGTTCTCTGCTGAGATTCAGCTCATTGGGTTCTTGTCCAGAGAACAGCCTCCTCTGGGTGGATGAGACAGGAACTGTTCTGACTGGTGAAGGTGTTGGGTACCAGTTTAAACAGACTGGCTGTGATTCTTATCTCACTGTGAAGCTTCAGAGCAGCAGCAGCAGAAGATACAGCTGCCAGTTTGTTGATGGAAACACAGTGAAGATAGAAGCTCACTACCAGCTGGAAGGTATGATGTCATCTTATTAAGGTTGATTAAAAATTGTGATCTCCACTTTGTATTTATTGTCGGGTTCATAAAATGTAAGTTTTTGCTTAAAAGAACTGAAATACACAATTTATGGATACAACTCCTGCAGGAAGGAGAGACAGTTGAACCCCAGACTCAAACGCACTGTCTCCCACTGGCCCTCCTCCGCATTCTGTTATTTTATTAACAGAACATGACACATGGTTACAAACAGAGTATTGTTCTGACAGAACAATTGATCAATTCATAAAGACAGAATGCTCCATCAGAAGGCAGGATGGTCTCCTGACTTAATCATGAGACAGGAGTGGAGCATCCCCTTGCACAAATGTTTTATAAGCACACATTAATTTTATAATCATTACTGAATAAACCTAACATTTATGTTAATACAATGTAATATCTCTTTAAACTTTAGTATAACTGACTTTTCATTTAAATAATGTTCACTTATGTTATTTTATTTTTTTTAGTCTTCACAGCAGTTCCTGCCAATAACTCCACCATCATCATCTTCCTCGGAGCAGGGATCGGGGTTCTGCTTCTGCTGGTTGTTCTCGCTGCTGTTTTTATTAAATGCAGAAAAACTAGAGTTACAGAGGAACGCCAAATAACAGGTACTTCAACAGAACATTGTTATCAATAGAAACTTAATTTGCAGAGGAAACTTTGATCATTTGTAAAAAAAAAATATATATATATATATAACTTTTTAGAAAGTCTATATAAAAAAGGATGAATTGTCTCAGAATGCTTCTTTTGTTAGTTTGAGTATTTCAATGTGTTTCAGTAAATTGCTCATCTTCTATGATCATTTCCCAAAGAGCTGCAATCATATTCTTTTTAGCTCCTTTCTGTTTCGGACATTTAAAGCTTATGAAAGATTTTCTTCACTTAAGGAAGAACATTTTCAAAGGCGCAGTGTAAGAACGGACTTAAATTGAAAGGAAACTAGTCTGTTTTGTAGCAACTCTACTGGTATATCAGAAAAAGCAAAAGGTGCAAAGAGTGTGAACATGAAAAAGATGAGTATTTTTTTCTTTCTTTTTCTTTCAGAAAATCAAGATTCAACCCATGAAAGTCATCGCTATGTGAGTGTTGATGCATTCAATGGTTCAATGTTTACTTTATTTGTCTCCCAGAGCAGGGCCAAAGTTTTGTGTTGGTAGAGCCCGTCCAAAAAGGGATGGGGGGGAATGTAAAATCTTAAACATAAGTATAACATCTTCTCGACACACAACCTCCCCAAGAGACAGGACATGAACCAGGGACTTAACACTCAAAAACAAACATGAACAACTAACACGAATACATAACACAAATAAACTAAGAATAATGATCGTAGGCTAATATGGAATCAGCGGAAGTCACACAGAGTCTGACCTTAAAAAGGTATATATACTCATATATGTAAATATATATATATAGCTAATCTCAAACCCCACCGGAAAAACTGTTACAACCCAATTGTTCTTAATATGATTAATGTATGATATGTGGTGAAGAAACATCTTGAAATTCCTAATAATTTGGGATAATATAGACTTCAAACCAGGAAAGTCGGATGCAGGTTTCAAAAGTTGCGCAGATAAGGGGATAAAATCTGTTAAAGATTTGTATTCTTCAAACAAATTTAGGTCTTTTGAGGAACTAGTTAATATATTTATTATACCGAAAAAGCACTTCTTTAAATATCTACAAATAAGGAATTATATTTTTTCAGTTCAAAGGAACTCTTTAGACATACCAATACTAAACAGCTCAGAAACAGAAATGGTAAAAGGCTGCAATGCAGGAGGTTTAATGTCACACCTATACAGAATTATAGCATCAGAATCAAAAGAATTGTCAATGAATAAATTAGAACCTTGGAGGAAAGACTTTAAAGAAGATCTATGTGAGAGTGATTGGACAGAAGGCATGTAAGGAAGCTCAGATTCAAACAATAAGTGTAAGATTGAAATTACTGCAATATAAATGGTTGACGCGGACTTACATAACTCAAGCTATTCTACATAAGTATAATGAAAATATTGCAGATACCTGCACAAAATGCAATTTTTACCATTGCATATGGGAGTGTGAACATACTGTATAATGTTTTACTGGAAAGGGGTGAGGGACATGATCAATAAAATGGCAAGTTTTTAATCTACGATTATCAGCAAAAATATTTTTATGCATTTATACCCTCCTGAAATGCATTTGAAAAGAACGGAATATACTTTTCTTGACATGTGTTTGCTACAAGCTAAGCGTCTTATAGCTCTTTTTTGGAAAAAAGTTCAAGCACCACATGGTCATGGAAAAAATAATTTATATATTGAAAGGTAAATGTAAAAAATTTGAGGAGATATGATACCCCTTCTTATGCTGATGAAGGTTCTCAGTCATCCAGGTCATAGTCATTCCGTAAAAATTCAAAAAATATCCACTGGACTTGGTTTTCAAGATTTGAAGACGTTTCGCCACCTCTCCAGGAAGCTTTCTCAATTCAAATGTCTGGGTCCGCAGTGAGTTTGAGTCTTATATAGACAACGCCTTGTATCGCTTGGAAGCATGCAATGGTAACCGATGAATGGGTCGTTAGTTCCATCGTTAGCCTGTAATATCTGAACCTGTCTATGATTCTAGGGGTCGGTCGTTAAAGGGGGGATTGCCATTAAGGGGGGGGGGATTGTCTCCTGTAATACCTGAAACCTGTCTATGATTGTTAAGGGTTGGTCGTTAAGGAGGTATTGTTCACCGGCTGGGGCGGGTAGGTCCCTCGTTCCTCTGTGATGGGGTGGGGGGTTTGGTGATATCTGGAAGGGATCATGTCTATGATTGAATTGTATGTTTTTGGAAGCTGGAATCTGAGTCCACCACCTCTGTTTAAAGTTGGTTTTTCTCTCTTAACATAGATGGCTTCCTTCACGCCCCTCTCAAACCACCTATTTTCTTTATCCAGAATATGCACATTCTGGTCCTCAAAAGAATGTCCTTTGTCCATAAGGTGTAGGTGTACCGCCTCTGGACAAGACTCCGCAGTACACCTACACCTTATGGACAAAGGACATTCTTTTGAGGACCAGAATGTGCATATTCTGGATAAAGAAAATAGGTGGTTTGAGAGGGGCGTGAAGGAAACCATCTATGTTAAGAGAGAAAAACCAATTTTAAACAGAGGTGGTGGACTCAGATTCCAGCTTCCAAAAACATACATTTCAATCATAGACATGATCCCTTCCAGATATCACCAAACCCCCCACCCCATCACAGAGGAACGAGGGACCTACCCGCCCCAGCCGGTGAACAATACCTCCTTAACGACCAACCCTTAACAATCATAGACAGGTTTCAGGTATTACAGGAGACAATCCCCCCCCCCTTAATGGCAATCCCCCCTTTAACGACCGACCCCTAGAATCATAGACAGGTTCAGATATTACAGGCTAACGATGGAACTAACGACCCATTCATCGGTTACCATTGCATGCTTCCAAGCGATACAAGGCGTTGTCCATATAAGACTCAAACTCACTGCGGACCCAGACATTTGAATTGAGAAAGCTTCCTGGAGAGGTGGCGAAACGTCTTCAAATCTTGAAAACCAAGTCCAGTGGATATTTTTTGAATTTTTACGGAATACCCCTTCTTATCCTTTCTGGGAAAGTATGGAGTTGGAATGTCAATTGTAGGCGATACTGATACCAGCTGAGAAGCATTTTATTTATTTATTTAATTATTTTTTTTATTTTTTTTATTTATTTATCTTTTTTAAGTTATTTATTATTTTTTTCTTTTATATCCTTGTAATCGTAATTTGGTGTATGTCTGGATTTGTTTATAAATACTGTGCTGTACTATCCTTCAGTGTGTTAAAATTTAATACAAATATTTTGGGGGGGGGGGGGAGAATAATGATCTGGCCCTGATAGCCGGGCTGCTCCATATATACAGCAGACCGAACAGGTGGATAAGATGATTGATAATTACAGTGTGGGGGGGGGGACGGCAGGTAAATGAGGTGAGTAATTAGATCAGCGGGGCTGCGATCATCACAGGTGAAGCCAAGAATAAGTCGTCTAAAGTCTAGATTTCAGAACAGTTATTGGTAAATTAAATGGAGAGTTAGTGAAATTTTATGTTTAGGCTCGGGTTTGCTTGCCAGACGACACAAACTATAGTTCCTGCTTCAGCCTGGAGGTGCATTCTGAGCATAGAGAAGCTCAACACCTCACAAAAGCACACAAAAAGAGAAAAAAAAGTGTCTCTCTGCTTTGTGACTGCAAGGCCAAACACCCATGAACCACAGGAGGAAACAGAGCTTGGGGTAAATAGGCAAAAGCTTTATTATCTTTGCTAAGTGGTTCTGTGAGTGCATGTGTGGTTAAAAGAACTGCACAAAACCTCACTTGTAAAACACTGAGACTGATAGAGTTATGATCAACTGTTTCTCTGAAGTAAAACAAGCAGTGTTTTAGTATTACACAATAATATGATGGAAAACTTTGAGTATACTCACAGGATTATTACATAGAACCTTTTTTTAATGAAAGTATTAGCGCAATCCTTCCAATAAAGATGCCCATGGCTCTCGGTTCAGAAGCATCCAAGTTCGACGCTTTCCAGCGCTGTCAAATGTTTTTAAAGTAACCATGTAATCCAACACACTTTTCACCTCTTGTTCAAGATTCTTTATTATCCAAAAATAAACTTAATTTTTTTTTCTTACTGCAGTATGACGTGACAGGCAGATCATATCTGTTCATTTCTTTCTTTTTCTTAAACTATATTGCTGTTTGCCTGAATCCAAGAGCTCACCCGGCTCGAATAGCCAACTCCAATATATTCCAGGTGCTGCAGTGGCTTGTCTTTAATGAAGGGTGGACTCTTTATTTAAGTAAAAGTGATAAAGTATGCGCTCCAAAAAAAAAAACCTAGAGTATTAAAGTATAAAGTATCCTTTTAAAAAAAACATCCAGATGCCACTATATGAATTAAAAGCAAAATTTTTCGACTATTTCGAATAATTCTTAGAGATAGGACCAAGGATGAGGGAGGTCTTGTTGGTCTCTGTCTTCCGATAACCTCTCGCCTGTTCCCGACCTTTCAGATATTTCAACATCTTTTTCTGAATCCCACATTGTAGCATGGCATAGACAATTCATGTTTGCAGTTTGAAGACCACCTGCCTGCTTCTGATGATTTCCTTTAGCTAACCAATGAGTGTTTGTGTTACATGACTCATCCAGTTACACTAGTTTTCACTAGATGTGGATGGAGCCAATGATCTGCATTGGATGGAGCACATGACGGGAAATAAATATTTATAAACATTAAACCGAAGCCAAGAGTAACGAGTAACGTTTGTTTTAAGAGACTTAGACTTAGAGACTTAGACTTAGACTTGACTTTATTAATCCCTTGGGATTACTCCCTTCGGGAAATTGTATTTCCAGTAGCAGGAAAAATTGCACATACAAGAAAATAGAGGATGTTTATACACAGTATATACAATAGAAAAATAGAATCAATTAAATAAGGTGTAGGAAGATGTATTGGGGGATGAGGATAGAAAAATAAATACAGAGGGCTATAGCAAAACAATTACTTAAATTAACAGTTATGTAGTGTAGTAAAAATGTAAGAAATACAAAGTACAGATGAAAATGTATTGAGTAGAAGTCAGAAGTAGGAAGAAAAACAAGTAATGGAGAAAAGTATAGATAACTAAAAAGTCAATGTCACTGCTCTCTGTTGATAAATGTTCACTGTCCATTTGTTCTCAGGATGAGCAGCCGGTCAACCTGACCTATGCCTCTGTTAAGGCTTTTCATCCCCCAAATTCTCGAAGAAAAAAGGTAAGAACTCATCAAGCTTTGCAGATTTATAACTGTCCCATTTTAAATACATTTTCAATTGACTCGGTCATACCAATGACCGAAACTAACTTGATCTAAGCTGCAGGTTCAAGACTGAGTTAGTTGATATAATAATATTAATATAATATATTCAATGGCGTAACGACACAACAATAACCCCGTAAGCAACATTATCTGGGTGGGCACTATATGAAGTAAAACACCCCAACCGTTGCCGTAGACAACCGACCCGAAACGTCCCCCATATATACACATTTCATCATTTCATCATTCTAAATTGAGTCTTATCAGTCTACCTTGAGTTTCACAGCCCCCCTCCTCACCCACGCTCTCTCCAACCATCTCCTGGTCGCAGTCTTTACTTATAATATTTACTTACTGTAGGAGCAGCAACGTCAACCTCTCCAACTTTGGTTCTTAGAACGAACGTGCTTATTTTGGGATGTTTTTTCTTTTCTGGAATCCTCTTAAGTACCTCTTCTTTGTTATCCATCCTCGCTAACACATTGTACGTAACAGTTACAGTTTTACGTCCTGGATTACCCATAATTCCAAAAATAAAATACTCAAATACATCGTTCTTTTTAGATCTTTGTTGCGGTTTGAAACATATTATACGAGTGTATTTTTTATCAATGGTCTTGAACTATACACAGTTATTAAGATAGTAATTAAAAAGTACCACTGTCTCCTTTGCTATTGGTGTCATGTTTAAACGGTTCACCATCATGCTGCCGTGTGTTGGGGTATAAATACGGTCCAGTCAGTCAACCTAACATCAGGTAGGTTCAAGAGGAATTTTTTGCACCATTATATTTGCAAAGAGACGTCCTAGTCTACATTTGCGTAGGGGACCCACCAGGTGTCCCCTAAGCAACTGCAGTGTCTGCTTACCGATAGTTACGCCATTGAATATATTTTTCTCGACATTCAGTTTGATGCCTTGTTCAGACAATGCTCAGTATTTTTACTGAGGCATATTATTTTATTACAACATCATGAACCATTAACCTGTTTTTTTCTCATGGTTTGAAAACATGTTAAACTACCACAGACCAGTGGAAAGTCTTTAGGTGTAACTGAAACAGTTTGTGGTTTGTGTTCTGCAGATCAGACATGATAAAGATACGGTGACTTATTCTGCTGTTAGGACTAAACGCAAGAAAGAGGATGATTGTAATCTCAGCGGTTTCAACAGCTACATCTCTGACGCAGGTTTAGCCTAATAGAGAAATGAAATGTCTCATATCAGCTCCGCATTTATTAAACTTGTTTACAGGAAGCGGGCAGTTTGGTTTAAGATCCACTGATACCAAAGTATCAGTTTAAAGCTTTTATTGCAGTTTTTCTTCATTGTGCTTCAGTGAACAAGAGAATTTGTGAGAGCACATTTTTAGTTTATATTTCATATAACAGTTGTTATACATGTAAAATATGTTGGCTGTAAACGCCACTGCTTTCTGCTGCTGCCACACTCAGCTGAGCTCAGTTTGTACAACAATAATACTTCATTTTGATATTGCAGCTAATGAATGTATAGATGCTGAGTTGTTGTGATGTTTTTACCAATTGTATTTCCTGTTAAATGAATTAAAATATGTTTTTACTGGTTTTGACTATTATTTATGAAGAAGTAAAACCCTAAATATCTAAATTTGTTCAAATGGAAAAATGAAAATAAATCCAAATAAATATTCTTTTTTATATATATATAAATTAGAAACTCTTCACATTAATGAGCTATAGCATTAAGTCTGTGTTTGTTACGGAGCATAAATCTAAGTGTTTCATTATAAAAGCATATATTTTTATGTATGACTGCGTCCTGTATCATAATTATAACTCTGCTGTTTCTAACAAAGCTAAATCCATATAAAAACGCAGATATTAATTTAGTAATCTATCACTGGCCAGGTAACCATCCTCCGTTAGTAAAAAGCAATAGACTGGGGAGAAGGGTCCCTCCATGATGGCTACCTTCCTGCTTCCCCAGCAGTCGATCCAGTGATTGTTCGTCTGTGCCAAGTGCATGTCGGTTAGATCTCTGTCTGACTTTCTCCCTGATGTCTGGAGCACATGAGCAAATTAAACCTGGAGAGATCAGAACGAGTTAATCTGCATGTGCCTGCTGCTAGATGTTCTCCCTGACTTGTGCCAGACCGCTATCTCTGGATTCCTGTTTGGAAGGTGCCAAAGGAAGAAAAGGTGCATGGGATATAAACATATAAACCTATATATTTATAGGTTATTGCACAGGTTGTTTACATGAGTATTTTGATGTTTTATATTTTGATATATATATATATATATATATATATTTATAGTTTATATTTCATATAACAGTTGTTATACAACTGTTATATGATATGTTATTTAACAGGAAGAGCGCAGTCCTAGGAACAGCTAAGATACTGCGCAGAATCCTCAAACTCCCAGGCCTCTGGTAGAGGACCCGAGCTTGAGGATGACACATACCACCCCACGAGGGGTGAGAAAACCTATATATAAAAAAAAATATATATATATATATATATATATAGGTGCACTGCAAAAAATTTAAATCCAAAGTCATTTTTTCTTAAAATAATTGCATTTGTTCTTGAATTGAAGAGGATAAAGAGACATTTTGCTAATAGAACAAAACTATTTACACTTAAATAAAAAACACAATTGTATTGTCTTATTTCAAGTGCATAAGAGTAAAAATACTCATTCAATTGGCAAGCTATCTCAATTACCTACTGAAATTAAAGGTTAAATTTTCACCTATTGCTATATAATTTTTCCAGTGTGTCAAAAGGGATGAATGACCTGTATTAGCGCTCCTTTTTACAGACAGGGTGTAAAACTCTTTTACAAAAGGTTCTCAGAATAATTAAAAAAAAAATGAAAATGAACCTACTGGAAAAATGATCCAGAAAAAAGTCCTAAATTAAAGGTATTTACCCTTAATTTCAATAAGTAAATAAGATGATTTGCTAATGGAATAATGATTTTTACTCTTAAATAAAGTAATTAGATAATATGCACTTGAAATAAGACAAATAAATATTGTTCTTCTTATTTTAAATGTAAATGGTCCTATTCCATTGCCAATGTGTCTCACTTACCTCCTCAGTCACATTTCACAGGATCATCTTAATGTTAATGATGACACAGTGCACTATGAAAATGATGGAGAACATTCTGCTGCTGCTACAATCAGCTGACCATCATCACATTGTAGCACTATTCAAATTGTAAAAGGACTAGATGGAAGAAATTCAGAAGACTAGAATTCGTCTACTGGAGCCGTTGTTAGTAATCAATAAAACGACACAAAATAACTGCTTTCAATACCATGTATTAGACAAATTTAAAGTAAACAATACAAGACAACAAACATAGAACCCAAAATAAATACAAAAACAAATATATACACAGTACTGTGGCAATCCTTCTTTTGTTTGTGCACAACTGGTCTTAAATTCCCCGCTGATCAGTCCAGAGTCTGACCGACACACATTCAGAAATCCATGGTTGGATTATCCAGATATTTAAGTTGAAGAATGTCCCAGCGCAAGTTGTTTCAGATGAAGAGGTGAATAATGAAGTGTGCCTGAGTGGTGAGATGGAGGGGGGAAATGATACAGACCAGTCCACTGTGGAGTGTTTCTTAAGGCTCTCCTGGCTCCAGCCAGTTTTCAGAAGCTCGCCATCTTTTTCCCTAAAAAGGGATCACCTGGCCTGTATTAAAATAAACAGGACCAGTAAATTTCCAGCCGGCTAGTTAACTAGACTTTTCCAGTTTCACACAGAAATAAATGCAATATCTAATCTGTCAGACCAAATAAAGAACATTTATCTCATCATCTTAAAGTTAGATTACAACAATTGATCACACTTAGCATTTGCTGCCACCAACATGCTAAAACAACAAACATTTTGCTCTCTACTCACCAATTCCAATAAAAGATGAGTATGGCAGCTCCAAGGCTCCAAACTCACTGGATTTCTCGGATCTACATGATTTTTATATTGTGAGGTTAAACAGTGCATTACAAACAAAGAGAAACTGATTGTTTGGGAACACCAACCTGTAGCTCCTTTGTCTCCAGCTCTCCCCCTCACATCTGACTGGGGAAAGCTGGAGCAAGCCTAAATAATTGCCTCAGGTGTGTCAATTGGCTGCATGCACTGTGTGACTGACTGTCACTCTAACCAATGGGGCAGTAAGGCGGGACTAAGGGCAGTTTTCACCCTGGGTTACAACATCAATACAGTTTATACTAAAACACATTTTATTTGAATTTTTCTTCTTTCTTTTACTTGTATTTTCAAATAAAATACCTAAATATTTTCTCTTGGTTTCGTATAATTGATGATCAACGATAATCCCAGAATCTATGGATTTGTTCTCAGACTAAATTCTGGAGGCAGACAGACAGATTTACCATCAGACAGAAACTAATTAATGTTTAATCATCTCAATCCCACCATATAGATGCTGAGGAGCCAATCAAAGGCAGATAAATCTGACATAACAATTAAATAAAGACCTGTTCCACATTAAACAGTAAAATCATAATCAGAGACACATCAAATTGCCAACTCTATGCTTAAAACTCTCCATATTTTAAACCATATTAAAATATTCAGTTTATAAACAATCATTAAAGCTGTTTGATGCTCTCTGATCTATGCTGATGCTCTCTGGTCCAACCCAGATAGCTGGCATCTCTTCTACTGTTGTGATTGTAGCATCAGGTCAACTCACCAGCAGTGCAATCTGGGAGTTCTGGTATAAGTCGTGAGTGGTCTGTGTGCAAATCTGTTGAGGTTTCCTGTTCATGAGTCATATTTCCAATATACCACACTTCTTTTGTCAGAGAGCTGTGTTCATTGTATTGCTAAATTTCCAGTTATCAAAAACTTCCTCTGTTACAACAGTGGTGTTCACACACCCAAGAACTCGCTCTCAACGCCCCCATTGACAGCAGCCGTACAACGTGTAAATAAACGGAAAGTGACAGGGTACAGAACTTGCAGGCGTACTTTACAACGTAAATTTGAGAGACATTAACACATAATATAAAATAACTTAGACGAGTTAAGATGAGGACATATTCTAACAAGCTTGTTAGAATACATCACAGTTCCTCTTTGACTGCTCAGCAGAGGAAATGACAAACAAATGGATAAAAATACAACTCGAACTTTTTTATATATTCTTAAGCGAAGATAAGCTAAATCACGTTAGTTTATATAAGGAAAGCAAAGTTAATGAGTCAAATGTATTTCACACGGGTTTTTTCCCCAGACTAAAGTTTGTGCAACTAGTTCCTTCTTTTTATTGTCATCTGGTAGTTTTTAAAGAACACTCAAGAGTGATGAGAGCAAAATGACAAAATAGGTAGTGGGTGGTGGTGTAAGGTTAGTTTTATCATAGTCACAAGGAGGAAATAACATCATTCCTTTTAGATCAGCAGCAGAGAAACGTCTCTCAGTGTTCAGCAGCTGATAGAAGGACAGGAGATGTTGGGTCTGGAACTGATTCTGATCGTTGTTCTTCAGTTTGAAGGTAAAGATCTGTTTGCTTTAAATGAAGCTGAGATAAATTAAGAATGAACATCCAGGATTTGCAGGAGTTAATCTGTCTAGTACCTAATAGCCAATCAGGTTTTGACCAAATATATAAACCATGTTCAAATTTGATTAAATTTCTCTCATTTATGTTCTTAAACGTCTAACCTGACAGAGAATAATATGTGATTAACCTTTTTTCATCAAAAATGTCTTAAATTACTTTAAATAACCTTAAAGTAATGTTATAAAAAATAGTTAAGCAAAAATGTAAAATAAATCAATGACATATTTGTAATTTCCCCTTAATGCTTGTATTTATAAAGGATAAAATGTGTAAAACTTGAATGTGTCTTTATCTCTGCTACAGGAACCAGTGGAAGAGATCTGCATGTCTATCATAGATCTGGAGATGATGTCGTTCTACCTTGTATTAATCTTCTATCCTCCTCATGCTCCATTGTTAACTGGATGTATAACAGTAATGAAATCAGAAAATATTTGGTTAGGCATGGAAAAGTTAATCAGAGTTCACCTCGAGCTGCAAGGTTAAATATGGACAGTAACTGCTCTCTGATCATCAACAACATCACTGCTGAGGATGTTGGAGGTTACATCTGTCTTCCTGGTTCAGATGGCAGCATTGATGGCATCGTGCTTCTGAACGTTCTGACCAGTGAGTATGAATTATCTAATGCTGTCAGACTCATTCCTTCTCATTAACATTGTGAAATGCTTGTGTTGGACAGAGGTTTCTGACATCAACAGTTCTGATGAATATCTGATGCAGTCAGAAGTTCAAATGTTGTTCTGTCAGAGTGTGAACCAATCATTTATTCAGCTCTGTGTGATGCTTCAACCACACATCAGTCCACACACTTAGTTTGACTTTACTGTCAAAGATCTGATGTTGAAAAGGTTCATTCATTTCATGGATGATTGTTTTTATTCCTAACAATGATCAAATCAAACTCAATATGTTTTTTAAATATTATTTTTGCCTCCAACTGTGTTTTTGTTGAGTTTCCTTTGTTGGTTGTC